TCAACTGGGTAGTGATGGGAAGAACAGTTCTTTGGACTCTACTGAATCTTTAGAATCTGTTCATTAAAAGGATTCATTCAGCGAAATCAAGTGTCGTTCACTAGATGACACATGTCGTTCGTTCAAGGAACGAACCAGGTCTTGGAGTGATTCCACTCACGTCGTTCACTCAGAGGTTATCTTCTTTTGAACGAATCGTTCGTGAACGACACAAGACTACAACTGAGGACCTTTGTGTGGTTTCAGGCGGGTTCAAGTCCAGTTTCCTCCTGTTAAAGAGAGTATCTGTTGTGGTTCTGATGATGGATCCAAAACAGACCCTGACCTAGACTCTCTAAAGGCAAAATCCTCCCTAAAAAAAACTCTGAAAACAAAACCCAGATTGTATAGAAACCTTCATCGAACACGGAGGAGTCAGACTCGGGGCCTAAATTTGCGACTTCAGTCACAGTTCAGCTCTCTGATCCTCTTTCTTTGTGTGTGTGTGTGTGTGTGTGTGTGTGTGTGTTTCTTGTTGTGCGAGATGAAAACTTTCTGCTGTGTGTGTGCAGGTGTTTGTTCACGAGATCAGCCTGGAGCGACTGTGAATCCCCCGGGCGTTCCTCTGTGTAATAATCCCTGAAATCCTGAAAACCATCAGACGGATCCACCGGCAGCACAATAACAGAGGGGATGTGAAGATAGCTGCTCCTCCTCCTCCTCCTCTTCCTCCTCTTCCTCTATCTCCCCCTGCACGCTTGTTTTCTCTCAGATGGGTAATGATGCTATTTGGGAGGACAGCCTTGATAACTCTGCTGAGATAATCTGGCGTTGTAATCTTCTCTACTGTAAATTGGGCCCTTGGACTGCCAAGGCGATGGCTCTGTGAAGTGCCTCAGAGAAACACTCTGCCACAGATTACCCCACTCGTTTCCCATCTCAGCCCCCATTAGACCCACTTTCATGTTGTCATTTTTTGCTCTCTGTATCGCTTTTCCTTTACAGAAAAGATGGTAATCTTTCTAAAGGACGGCGTTTCTTCACTGAAATCCAGCCTGAGTGTTTTCCCACTTTTGCTGTTTCATGAAATGGAATTTCTGTAAAGTTTGGGGCCCTCGGCTATTTTGGGGGATTATGATATTTGAAAACGACGCCTGGAGGAAGGACTGGGATTTTGGTGCTTCTGAGGATTCTGAGGTGCTGAACACAATCATTTCAAGTTTTGTTTTATTTCTGTTTAGAGGTCCGATTAAAAACTTCATGGAAGCTCCTCCAGATTCAACTTTGACTCTTCAGCGTCTAACTTTCAGGTTTACTACCTCTTCTTTGAACAACTCTGTGGATATTTGAGGTCCATCCATCCATCCATCTTAACCTACTTATCCAGGGTCAGGTCACGGGGGCAGCAGTCTGAGTAGAAAACCCAGACTTCCCTCTCCTCAGCCACTTCGTCCTGCTCTTCCCGGGGGATCCAGAGGTATTCCCAAGACAGCTGAGGGACATAGTCTCTCCAGCCTGTCCTGGATCTTCCCCGCGGTCTCCTACTGGTGGGACGTGCCCTGAACGCCTCACTAGCATGGTGTCTGGAAGACATCCTGTTCGGATGCCGAAGCCACCTCATCTGACTCCTCTCGATGCTGAGGAGCAGGAGTCGTTTTCGTCCTTGTTTTGAGTTTTTTTGCTCATATTTTCTGGATCTTTTAGTGACGTTATGAACCTTAGATGATGAAATCCTGAAATCTTCCTCGGTATAAACCTTATTGAACTCACGGATGTATTTATTCTGTGTTATCGCTGATACTAACTTGTACGTGTAACTCGCGAGAGCTCGAACAGAGGAGTCTCCTTTGTTGAAGTATTTCCACTGAGAACCCAGGGAGTCATCTCCAGGACTCATCTGTGGGGGAGAATACAGCAGGTACCCGATCAGAGGGTTTTTCTTAGAAACCTTCATTGTTGCCCCATGAGGGACCTGTGTGAGAGAAAGAACCGTCCTCAGGTGGTTTCTCCTGAAACCCTCAGAGGGGGATCTCCGGAGAACCAGGTTAATCTCAAAGAAGAGGAAAATCTGCGTTTTCTAAGATTCATGCCATCACTAAATACTTTAGAGCTCCATCAAACGTCTCCTCATCAGCGTCTCTTCATGGAGCTGTTTCTCTGAGGCATGAGTCTGCAGTTTTTCTTTCTCGTCACTCTGAGCCCGCAGATGAAATCAGGAAAAGTATTCATAATTAAAATATGTGCTTTCGAACATCTCGGGGGATGGCTTATTTTGGTTTCTGACTGCCGGCGTATTTGTTCTGCTTTTCGACATTGGTGGTTTCACATTTTTTCTTATTTGTTCTTGTTTCTCTTTGGGACTTTTTCTTTCTTTTTCTAACTGATACACAACACAAAATATTTGTGCCATGACAACAGAGGAAGCCTTCAAACCCAGAGAAAATAAAGTGGGATATTGGCAGTTGAATTAAAACTTCTTCTATTTTCTCCAGAATCGTTGAAAAGATTAAACAAATGTGTTTCATCTGATCCCAAAACACACGGCGAAGTCTGTGACAGAAATCTCTTCTCGTTGAGTTGGAAAAGTGATCTCTCTATGACGAGGATACGTTCAGATTTAAAGACGTCTCCTCGGAGGAGTGTTTACTTGGTTGACAGGCCTCTTACTTATTCATTACCTTCACATTCAGACACTATCATGCTCACACAAACAGAGCAGAGAGCAGATACTAATGCATTAATGTCAAACCTGCTGCAAATATATTCATGACAAACAGACGATGATATGCAAACCCAGGAAACACGTGCAAACATGGATGAAGTTTCATGTGCTTCTGTGCTTGTGGTGGTCTTGTTCATGCAAGTTTCTCCACCGTGGGATAAATGAAGGTTTATCTAGTGCTAATTAAACTCGTCAAATGCTGGGTTGACATTGCATATGGTGCAGTCTGTTCTTAAATCTGGGATCATAAGATTATTGGTTTAATGCACAAAGAAATCCTTGAAAACAACTGCAGAGAGTGAGCCTTTAGAGCAGTGCACAGTTTTGGACAATTATGATGCATTTCCTCAAATACATTTTAATATTTAATTGATTTTAAATTGACAAATGTTTCCTCTGCTCGATGTTTCTAAGGGAAATAAAGACCAAATTGGGATCTAACTAATGAAATGGGAAAACAAGTAAAAAGCTGGGGAGCTTCAAAGAGAAAACTAATATCGTCCGAGATGGACAAAGAGAAAAGTAGTACTGGCCATGATCGACGGAGAGAAAACTAGTATCGTCTAAGATCGATGGAGTAGACAACTTACTCTGCCCAAAACAGACGAAGAGAAAACTTGTACTGTCCGAGATCAACAAAGAGAAACCAACACTGTCCAAGCTAGAAGAAGAGAAAACTTGTATCGTCCAAGATAGACGGAATAGTAAACTAGTACTGTCCAAGATCAACGTAGAGAAAACTAACACTGTCCGCGATAGATGAAATGATGGGAAATTATGTTTTTTGTGGTGTTCAGGGCAAACAAGTAACAGATGATAAATTGTATCCATTTGTCTTTTTGATTCTTAAATATTTATTCTTTTTTCTTTTAAATTGTTTTAATCCCTGTTTGCTTGTATTTCCCTGCATCTGTAAAGGACTTTGAATCGTCTTGTGTATCAATAGTGGGATACTAAAAAACTTGCCTTCAAAGCTTTAAACCTCTGATATGAACTGTGATCACCTCGTCACAGACTTCCTTTTTTGTCTGCTTAGCGTCTGTTTTAAGATCTGCTTCCTCCCTCTCTGACAGGCGGTCAGTGTTCAGCGTCAGTTTTGCGAGGTGCAGCTACATAAAAGTTCTCAGCTGAGTTTATGAAACACGTCATGATATGAGTTAAAGTCATAACTCAGAACTGACTTTAATATCGCTCAGGACTCGCACCCTCGGGTCCGAGATTGCCATGACCCCTTAACGACCACGTCAGGCGGCCATGTTGTTTTCTTTAACCAATCCTCAGACGACTCTGAGTCGTTTATGGGTAAAAGTTAGAGTACAACTCAAGATGGATGGATTATAAACTGTAAATATCTATCATGTGCACACAAGAAGCTATTTTTTACCTTTTTGGGACTTCAGGGGCTCCATCCAATCCTATAATTGTTCATATCTCTTAAATGTGAAGCTACAGCGGCTGCTCACACTCTGTGAATGTTGTCAGATTAAGAACAGGATCTGTCTTTGTCTCTGCCTCCCTCTCTGCTCTCCTTCCTGCTCTTGCCCGGTCGTCACTCCACACCGACACTGAAACGACCTTCCTTCTGTGCTCACAACAAAACAATCGATCCTCGCTCTATTTTGGCAACTTGAAACTCATCTCTTCAAGAAGCGCTGCACGTCAGATTGTCCTCCAGGCTCTGAAGAAAAACTCCATCTCGACATCTTTCTGCCGTTTCATTGACCTTTCTCATTATTCTGTCACAGCAGCTCTGGTGGCGCTCTGGCTCCAACCTTTGACCTTCCCTGTATTGCTTTCTTGTAGCGATGGCGATCTACTGGAGGAATGAGGCTGATTCCACTCTCGGGGCCCGGTCAGATTTGTCAGCTTTAAGCCCACACTGTAAATGAAAATGGATGATTGGAAAAAAAGCCTCAGGGGAAAGTGAACCAGAGTATTTTATTTGGTGAACCATTGCAGCAAAATAACTTGGTTAGAGAGCAGGGACACTTGAGGGATCACCTTGATTCCTTTTAAGAAGTAAACACAGTCTTAGTGTGAATGTGCTTTTGCAGATTAAATCGAGTTAAATTAAGTTGTTACCCTTGATACTAACTTTGTTGACAGGTAGGTTATTGGCGAAGTAATGCTGCGTTTCCAGTTACCTTGGAAGTCGGAGCTGGGAATGATGCTACACACGAATTGACGGTGAAAACCAAGATGGACGCCTACTGTTAGTTGTTGTTAGTTGTTGTTAGCGATACAAGTTGTAAACAACACCTAACACAGTATTTAACTCTTACAAACACCATAGCACCGTGTTCACAGTTAGACGTTGGGCAGAACAACATAAACCACTTATTTAATTTCACAAAAACAAAACAGAAGTGCTAATAAATAAAACATTGCGAGAGTTTTCACCGTTACTCTTTTCTGTTGATGCACTGTGCTGCCATCTTGGATTATGACGTGGTCAGGGTCAGTGAGGATCGTCCGACTTTCTGAGTCAGAAATCGGACTTATGGGGGACGTTCCAGATGAATTTCCGACTTGGAGCTGGAAATCTCGATTTCCAAGTATAACTGAAACGCAGCTTAAGTCAGGGTTAGCTGCACGTCAATGCAAAGTTAGTTTATACTTTGTGGCATATGACAGATACATATAAGGATCTCCATAAAGACCCCAAATCAGTAAAACAGCGATCTCTAAGCGGGCTGTTATGACACTTTTTGTAAAAACATAAATTTCAGGTTGTTTCGGGATGTCAAAGCTGTGTAAAAAGTAACACCCAGCAGCTGAAACAAACCTGGAGAGGTTGGACTGTGTTAAAATGAGGGTTTTCATGGACACCAGTTTCAGGGAAAGGAAGTTCTTCGCTATGTTATGCAAAGTTGTACATCTTTACAGGAAGGTGAAATGAGTTCATTTGGTCGTCTTTGACAGATACAGAGGACAACAGAGGTACCTTTAGAAGATCTCCTTACTTCAACTTTTAAAGTCTGTTTATATTTTCCCGCCAAAGTCCACACCATGTTGCAGTTTGCTGTTGGTTTGTGTTTGTTTTCTTCAGTTTGGTGGATGTCTCTTTCGCGTTCTAGTTCTGCAGTTTCCCCATCTCTCCCCTCCTCTCTTTTCTAGTTGGTTTAGAATGTTATTTTGAGTCTCTTATGTCAGTTTATTAGAAAAAAAAACATGTCGATGATTTAACTATAACTTTTAACTGAGTCAGTCTGTCAATTATGTTTTCATGATCCGTACCTTTTTTTTTACCCACCTTCCATTTGCTTCCCTGCATTTTGATGCCATTGTTAACTGGTGTGTCTGATTGCTATTCTCAGTTTTTTATTTCACATAAATCCAAAGAGTGAGTTTTTCATCAGACCTGATGTTTCATGTTTCCACCTGCTGCAGATCTTTCGTTTTGCAACATTCGTTTATCACAGTTAGGAGGGAAGCTGCTAATAGGTGCATGAAAAACGCAGGATTATGTGTTAAAAATGACGACACACTTGCTAATAGCTGTCACAAGTGTTTACATTAGCTCTGTGAGGCTACCTGTGCAGCTCTTCTAGTAAAAACTATCAACACTAACTAGTGAGCAAGTCTTTAAATGTGAAACACGCAGTTATTGTAGGAACTTCAGTGGAAAAAGAGCAAAAAGACAGTAGAGTTGAGCGTAAAGCTCTGCAGAAAGGAGCTCAGTGGGAAACCAGGAGCTGCAGCAGCTTCTTTTATTGTCCTCTCTACCTGCCTTATGTGGTTAAATTTATTGATTCCAATAACCTGTCTGGCTGTTAGGGGCCGGCTGGAACATGACCAGCTGAGTAAAAACAGAGCCGTTTCCTTCCTTAGAGGTGAAATGTGAGGATGTGTGTAGCTTTTAAAACCCATACACGCGGCTAATGTTGGCGTGTGCGATGTGTTGGTCAGGAGGCCGACTGCAGCGGCGGTCCCAAAGGTAGGGAGTCACACCCTCGCCCAGTTAAACACATATTACCCGCCTTTTATTAGACGCCAGGATCGGTGCGTAGAAACAGCTCCTGCTTGATTCTTTCTGCCTGTTTGAGTTTAATACAAATACAAACACCATCCGGGCAGAGATCCATGTGTCTTTGATTTAATTTGCCAAAAAGACAAAAAAACAAACCCACAGTTTCCCCGGCCCGCTCCTGGCTCTGTGTCATGTGTTTCCTCGTGTTGTGTTCAGTCACATGGTGGGGTTTAAGCTGGAGAGGGGACCGCAGCGGCTCAGGGGTCTTACAGTAAAAAGAGAGAGAGTCCTTCAGCGAGAGGAGCAGAGTTCAGACTGCAGAGTCAGCGAGTATCCACTCTGCTGGAGTGTCCTTGTGTCAGACAATGAAGCTTAACCTGTGGTTCTGTGTCTTTGCCTTTTTACTGGAGAGTGCTGGTCAGAGCTCTTCAGGCAGATACTAAAAGTCCACATGAACCAGACTGCTACTTTTTTTTACTATGACACAAAACAGACCGGATCAGAAGTTTCCAACTTTTTAAAAATGTTTTTAAAGCTCCTGTAAAGAACTTTCAGTAACACTTTACAATAACCATAACTTATCAAATTTATAAACATAACATCCAAAAGCAAAAAAGACCATCAGTGACAAGATTTACAGCTTTTTGTTATGATAGTCAAGGATTGAATTTGGTGGGAGGGGGTAGATATCAGCAGAACAGCTTGAGACACACCTTTTTTTAAAGTTTCGACATGAAATATTCTCAATAAATTATAGATTTGACAGTCAAAAGTGAAAAATTACTGCTTTTGCATGTAAAGGACAAGATAAGCAAGGACTGCTTTGTCCGCTATTACAAACCAAAAGTTCTCTACAGGAGCTTAAAATACCATTACAGCTCCGGAAGTACATTTATGATCATTTCCTCGTGGAAATGCAGTCAGACCGTGACGTCATCAAACCCCATCTGCAGTACAAAATGAGTAATATGGTGATTATTACTTCATGGAAATGATAAAGAAATGATCATAAATGTTCTTCCTTTAGCTGTGACTCCCCACTGCAGTCGATGGACTCGCACAAACAAGCGGCTGCTGGAAGAGAGTAGGTGAGTTGTGTGAAACAAGGAATCAGGAAAAGTTAAAAAGATGTTTGGTGTCTAGTACTATGTCTGTGACCCTATATGTCCTGTTGATGAAGTTAGGTGCTGTTCTGAGCATTATTTGTGGCTATAGAGTGGCGTTTTGGTTGAGCGCGTGGCTCTCTGTATTGCTATCCTGCGGTCGTTACTAAAGTTGGTATAACTAGAGAAGCAAGCGGTCGGCAACATTCATCTCTGGAGGGGGGGTCTAACTCGGTGTTACGGTGGGTTTGACCCTAAATTAATTTTATGCCGGAATATCCCTTTAATGGATAATGTCAATGGTTATAAGTTGGGATGAAATAAATATGCTTTTGTGATATAGAATAAAAGAAAATAAACGGGAAAACACATAAACATCAGTCTCATCCACCTTTTTGGTTCTGGCTGGGTTTTCACAGCCTGTTTGAAAACAACCTGAAGCCTAGTACCTATCAGAGGCCCAGGACTGAAAGACCAAAAGCTGCAACAAAAGACCAAAAAGACCATTTTCTGCACAAACAGAATGAGCAGCCAGTGACAGATTTGTCAGATATTGGGCTAACACCCAGAGGCTTGGCGTGGGGAATGTCTCTGCATAAGCCAAGTGAAACAAAACCTCCAATCTGTGAGCATTTTACAGAGCTTTCACAAAACAGCGTGTTTGTGCTTCAACAGGTGGTGCAATGAAACCAAAGAGCGAATTTACCCTCCTGTTTTACACACAACTGTATCACTGCATTCGGTAACGGCGTTAATAGTCGTCCCCGGGCGTTCTCCTATTATTTCACTACAGTTGCATTGACATCACGCTGTGATCTGATTGTTTTGAAGCCAAAGAGCTGCCGGCCTCTCTTGGCATCGGTCTGACTAATCACAGTTTGGCGGCGGCAGGAGCATCACATCATCTGATTGGCATCCCATGAAAAAAAAAGGAGGATTAACCAATGTCACCTGGTTTCCTTAGAGAAGAGACAGATAATATTTAGAGGGGCAACATTTTACTGTTAGTGAAAGAGTAGAGATGACAACAACAATGCAGGAGACTGACCTTTAATGTTGAAGAAGGTGTTATTAGAAATCAATAGGACAACAAGATGAACCGTATTGTATCCTATTGTATCGTATTGTACCTTATTGTACCATGTTGTATCATATTATATCGTATTATATCGTGTTGTATCTTGTTGTAACGTATCGTATCGTCTCACATTGTATCGTACTGTATCGTATCATGTTGTATATCGTACTGTATTGTATTGTGTTTATATCGTATTGTTTCGTGTTGTGTCGTCTTGTATCTTGTTGTAACGTATCATATTGCATTGTATCATATCGTATTGCATCGTATCCTATCATATTATGTTTTCTGTATCGAATCCTATTGTATCATATCGTATCGTGTTGTATATCGTACTGTATTGTATTGCATTTATGTTGTATTGTTTCGTGTTGTGTCGTCTTGTATCTTGTTGTAACGTATTGTTTTGTATTATATCATATTGTATCATATTGTATCATATTGTATCATATCATATCGTATTGTATCGTAGCTTCTAAAAAACCATTACCTTTATAACTTTAAACTCTCATTTTTATTATGAGTTATTATAAGTAAGTTGTTAAATTACTTGAAAACTTGACAAGAAAACAAGACAATCGTTAAATCTGGTACATACTATAACTTAATAAAGTCACGAATGAATATAGTTAACTTACATGTCATCATCTATTTCTGGTAATATATTAAGTCCCTCAATAAATGATTGTTATTTATGCTTTTATTCTGATGTGTTTTTTCTCTCTTCTGTTTAGGTTGCTATGTTTCCTGCACTGCCAAACCACGCTTTTATTTTGAAGGATTTTACTTCTGGTAGATCGTGAGTTACTGAACTGAACAGTTAGGAAGTTTAAATGTTCATTTGATTGGTAACTTAAACAGGCAGAGAGCTCTAATGCTGTTTTTAGAGTCACAATAAATCTTGATTATGAGTTTGAAAAGTGCTGAATCATCTGTTAGAGGGATGCTACAGCTAACTCACAAGCAGCTTAGTCTCTGTTTTCAGATGAGTGACATCACAGTATTATAATGTGATTATTTTTAGCACAATATCAGCATTTTATTTAATTTCTTACAATATAAATAACATCAGTATTTGTTTATTGTTGCAGCTCTAATTCAAGTATCACACTCAATATTACAACCCAGCAAAAATGAAGCTATTCTGCATGTAACAGTAAAGTTAAATATATTATTTGGCAGTGAAAGAAGAAGTGAATGAATAACAAACGAAATTCTTTACCTGAAGCTGTCTACACTTCTGCTGAATAACTCACCAACACCTCCAGCAGTCCTGCGTCCCCCGTCTGTGAATGCCAGGACCAGATTTATGGATGCAACTACGTCCAACTGAGAGCTTTGGACTGAATGTGACAAAAAAAGTTCCAGATTAAAATCACATCTTAAACTATCTGTAACATGAGAGTGAAGCGGCGATGTTTATGATGATAAAAGTGCTGTTATCATGCACTGTCTGTCTCTGGAAGAGGAGCAGCTCTGTGTTTTTTTTTCTCCTTTTAAAATGGACGAAATGTGTAACCCTGAAACGTTATCATAATTAAGTTGTTATCTTATAATACTGCAGAGTTTGGAGAGTAAACAGGAGCATCATTTATTATCATCAGGAGATAACGGAATAATAAAGCTTAGCTAAACAGCTCCTGGAGTCGTCTTTGGACCTCAGGATGGACAAGAAACTTTACTGGCTAAAGTAAACGCAGATTTAAAGAAACAGATCTGAATGAATCTGTTTGGTGGAAAGAAACACTGAACTACTAACAAGAGCGTGCGTTTACCTCTGTTTAAGTTGCATCGAGTGGACATCTCGTGGCAGCGGCAGATTTGCGTCCAGATTTTGGCAGCGACTGAAGGATTGAGAGAGATTGAGAGAGTATCAGAGCTCCTTTTGTTCTGCTTCCATTTGTCCCCGAGCTGACCTCCTGACATTAACTCAGATGATAAACAAACAACCAAATCCTTCCTAAGCTTTGTTTAGTGGAGAAACCTGCTGGGGATTATGAATCCCAGTATTGGATTAAGATCACACAGACAGCAGACACACACAGCGCATGGTTAATACAGCCAAATGGCCCGCCGTGTTGCCAGTCTCTCAGTGTGGCAGCTCGTGGTGTTCAGTCGCCGAGTCTTTGCTTTGAGTTGAAATAGACACTCTGATCAGGAGCCTTAACTGTGTTACTGTAACTCTGTCTGAACATAAAGCCCTCGTATTAAAACCATCTCATCTCTACATGCTGTAACGACTTTAAGCTTCGATTTACACATTTCGCTTTTAGTTGTTTTAGCTCAACTCCTCAGACAGTTTATATGATTTAAAAATCAAAGTGAGACGACTCAAATCTCTTTTTTTTCGCTCACATTTCAAAAGTTAAGACAAAAAAATCAGACAAAGCAACCGAGGAGTTCCTCTGATTAAATCTGGACTAAAATATCACAAGACAGAGAGATGAAAATATGACCGTGTCGAAAACCAAATTAAATCCCTTGTCAGAATTAACCTCCGGGGGACTTTCCGTCGACATGAGCTTCAGAAACGATTGATGTTACATTAAATACTCCTGCAGAAAAGCTCGAAGACACTCCAGGAAGAAAGAGAAGAAGACGGGGTACTTTCCCGAGACGGAGACAGTCAAACGATTGTTTCTGAGCAAATTAAGACCTCGGAGCTCTGAGGCCTCGCTGCGAGGGAAACTGACGGTGACCTGAGCTAACATCCATGACGAACTTCATCAACCCTGGGTCAAATCGGGGAAACAACTTGGTCAACCAGTGACTGCGTTAAAGTGGTTGATTTTGGGTTGAGTTCGATTTTGTGTGATTTTAGTCTGACCAGTGTGTAAGCAGGTGTTTTAAAAGTCCAGTTTCAGTCACTAACACAATAAAGTAAATTGTTTTTTTGGACAACATGTTGTCAGCCAAAATCTAAAATTTAATCACATATTAAATAGATGAGAGTTTGTTCTTATTGTGCCGAACTCTGCCCGAGTTTTCTTTAATCAAAGAATCAAAATTTGGAGTACTTATTTTGATTTTATTTTGGCGAGTTCCTGTTTCTTAAATGGATTGTGTTAGTTTCCTCTTCACAGAGATGGATCGACTGCTGCAACAGCGTCTACAGCCCTCACACACGTGGCGCCCAGACTGTAAGACATCTATCTTGCCTTCGCAGAGTAACTTTTTTTAGAGTAGATATAACTTTTTCTTCTCTGCAGAAATCCAGTGTTTCGCAGTAGAGAGTGGGTTCAAACACTGGCCTGCTGTCAAGCTCGTACATTTACTTGTGTGAGAGTCGGTGAAGTGCATCGAGTCGACGTTTTGTGGCAGCGGTAGATTTATGTCTGTGTTTTGGCAGAAATTGAAGGATTGAGAGGGACTCCGAGAAAGTCACGTCTCCTTTTGTTCTGCTTCCATTTGTCCTTTTCTGTTTTCTCACAGTCTTTCGCTGGTTTTAGGTTTTTTTAAAACACCGATATGAAAGTTAGAGCCACTGTTGACGCCTAATTTAAATGCCCTGAAGTTCGCCCTTCAAACATCTGTGATTGGAGCTGAAGGCAAGAGACGGATTTCCAGCTGAAGACTCCCACAGAGGTGTGAAGCAGGTGCGTAAGTCTTTCCCATCTCTCAGTCACAAATTAAATAAGAAAATACAGATAATTTTCAGTTTAATGGCATCAGGCTATAAGAGCTACAGAGGAGGTAAGACGTTGATGTATATAAAAGATCATAGACAGTCGGGGACGAACCCCGCTTCCTGGTAAACACAGGTGGATATTCAGACTCTCTTTGCCGCCCCGTGAGAGGACGAGACACTAAAGCCTTGTGGGTAATATTGTCATCATTATGCTGGATTCACAGTCGGCACCTCTCCCTCTCTGTTCTTCAGATTTCGGTCCCCCTGCCTCTTCAAAGGGACCCATGGGACCGGACAGAGAATATATAGCTGGTGTGTGTTCCTGGTAATTGGCTCTAAGGTGGCGCGGGCCTGCGAGTCCTTCCAGCGGGGGCCGAAACGGGCTGTTTGAATTCAGCCATTGTGCTCACATGCTGCTCCTCCCTCTGCACAGGCATGTGTGGATGTACTGCAGCGTGATTGTCAGCTGTGACTCAACCCTACAGGTCGCAGGATCATTTCTGAAGAGGCCTGTCACGGTCACGAGGACATCTTGTTTTTGTTAGCATGTTTGGTATTTAGGTTTCGGGCCCTGTGCATTGAGGTGGTGAGTTTCAGTGCAAACACTGTTGAGTAGTTGTTTGTCGAGTGATTACTTCAGGTTTCTTTCTATTAAACTTGGCCTTCCAGAAAGTGTAGCCATCTTTAATTAATGATCAATAAAATGATCAGCGCTCAGGAAAGAGGATAAAATGTACTTGTGAAACATTTCTCTGCAGCTGAAGACAGAAACTCTTTTAAAATGTTTGTTTCTGTGATGGATGGTGTCGTTTTTACACTCCAGTACATAATGGGAAAAATGTTCAAAACACAGACAGAAAAATACAGTTTCTGAAAAATCTATATCTTCCAAACAGTTTTTTTACTCATAGACTTTCACTCTTCAAATGCCAAAAAAACCCACCGCTGTAAACCGAGTCGTTGGAAATCAGTCATCGTCGAGGGTCCGCTTTATATGATGAGACATTCTGCAGCAGATTCAGGATCACTGATTCGACTCTGAAACATTTTATTCAGGATGTGAATGTCACGATACACAGACGCTGGATTAAACTGCTTAAAAAGACAAAGGTGTGTATTTAGTGTAACATTAATCAACCAATCAGAGAGCTCCAGGTGAACCTGCAGACAGGAGTGTTACTATTTACACAGCAGATTTGCGCTTTAATGATGCGTTCCAGTTACTTCGGAAGTCGGATGTCGGAGCTGGGAATGACGTTACACCCAAGATGGACACCTATTGTTAACCGTTGTTAGCTGTTGTTTACAATTGTCAGTTGTTGTCAGCTGTTGTTAGCGATACCATTTGTAAACAACACAGTAACACAATATTTTACTCTTACAAACACCATAGTACCGTGTTCACAATTAGACGTTAGGCAGTACAACATAAACCACTTATTTAATTTCACTAAAGAAAAACCGAAGTGCTAATAAATAAAACATTACGAGATCTTTCACTGTTACTCTTTACTGTTGATGAACTGCGCTGCCATCTTAGATTATGACGTTGTCGTCAAGTTGGGGTCAGTGAGGATCGTCCAGCTTTCTGAGTCAGAAATCCGACTTCAGGGGGGCGTTCCAGATGAATTTCCAACTCGGAGCTCGGAAATCCCGACTTCTGAGTACAATAATAATAAAAGTACAATAATTCTCTGACAGGATGCAGTATAATTCTCTTATTTCTGCTACTGAATCAAAGTGTGCATAATGGACACTGCGATACCATACGATAGAATTCACTTTATTGTCCCCAATGGAAATTTTATCCTGGACTCGAGCGCTGCACCTGCTCACATCCTCAAATAGAGGCACACAGAGTGTACGGACAGAGGGGACATGAGGCTTGGAGTACACTCACTCATTATCATTAAAAAGAAAGTTCACTTAAACTCCAAGTATTAGAGAAATATCATGAAGTTGATGGCCTTTGACAGGATGATCAGACGTCTGTGATTATGTTTGAAACACCTCACAGTGATGGAAAGCTCCGGTCTGTTCTGTAAACCTCGAATTCTTTGGGTAAAATAACACAAATTCAGGTTAAAAGAATATTCAAACGTCATCCTCACCAGTTAAAAGTCTCTGACATCCCTCAGTGTGTTTTCTGCTTCTTCCAGTTCTGCAGGATTTCTGTCGCAGCTCTCTTGTTCCTATGCAAACAAGCGAGCAGCAGGTTGAATGATGATGACAGCCTACAGCACCGCTGCCCTTTTCCAACCAATTATTGTGTTCCAAATATTCAACACCTCTCTTGTTTTTGCTGGATGTGTGGTTTGGTAAGATAAGACAGCAGAAGGCAAAGAGTTCACTCCTCTGTTGTTGACTGAGAATAAAGATGGTGAGCTCAGATAATCAATCCGCATCTACATATTGATAGATCAGAGATTTAGGGAGTCTCATAAACTCTTAGAGTCGTTTTCTTTTCTGGTGGAGAGAGTTTGTAAAAGGAAGGAATACAAAAGATACTCAGAAGTTAAAATAATTTCATAATTCCTTCAATGTAAAATCATTTTGCTTTTGTAACTGGGAGTGATGGGAGCATGAAGACAAAGAAGAAGAAGAAGAAGAAGAGGAAGAAGACGAAGAAGAAGAAGAAGAAGAAGAGGTAGAATAAAAGAAGAAGAAGATTAATCAAGGATGAAAGAACAAGAATAATTATAGAAGAAAAACTCGAATGACCGAAGAGAAGAACTTGATTGATCGAAGAAAAAGAACAGGAACTTGATTGATTGAAGCAGAACTTGATTGATTGAAGAGAAGAACTTGATTGATTGAAGAAGAACTTGATTTATCGAAGAAGAACTTGATTGATTGAAGAGAAGAACTTGATTTATCGAAGAAGGACTTGATCGATCAAAGAAGAACTAGAATGATTGAAGAAGAACTACCGAAGAGAAGAACTTGATTGATCGAAGAAAAAGAACAGGAACTTGATTGATTGAAGAGAAGAACTTGATTGATTGAAGAGAAGAACTTGATTTATCGAAGAAGAACTTGATTGATTGAAGCAGAACTTGATTGATTGAAGAAGACGAACTTGATTGATCGAAGAAGAACTTGATCAATCGAAGAATAACTAGAATGATTGAAGAAGAACTTGATTGATTGAATAAGAGAAAAGAGAAAAGAAGAATAAAAAGAAGAGAGAAGAAGAAGAAGAAGAGTATTTTAGTTAAAAACGTAACAAATAAAGACTTATGTGTTTGTTTCCTAACTTTTCTCGTCCTAATGGATTCATCTGGTCAAGCCAACTTCTTCGTCAAACGGTTAACTTGTCAGATACTTTCAGACGGACCACCTGGCTCACTGCTTCCTTTCCCCATTTCGAGTTTCCTGATCTGCTCTACCTCCAGTTTCAGAGTGCTCTACAATTCCTCCACCACTTTTTGGCAAATGCAGCACTTTCTCGTAATATTTTGAACTATTTATTTAGTAATATCAAGAAACCATCAACCCAGCCATCACTCCAACGGAGCGGTTTTTGTGTGTGCACATGTAGAGGTGGGTGGAAACCCCCCTCGGCTAGAAAGGTGCTGAATTCAGGATGCTGCTCTGCTGCAAAGGGATACAATCGTGAAATTTCAAAAAAGGAACAGCTTGTCAATATATCAAGCCTCTCCACTGCCAAAAGCTTCTCTGGCTGAGTATTTTGGTGAAACTGAGAGTAGCCAAACATTTAGAGTACACGCGAATCACAGCCCTCTGAGCTCATGTCCCCTTCCTCCCCCTCCAAAGAGCCTCACCACAACAGGCAGCGCCGCTCTGCCAAAAGAAATGACTGGAGTGAATCTTCGAGTGTTGAGTCAGAGTCGAGCAAAATCTCACAACCATTTCTCTTTTTTTTTTTTCAGCTTGAGGCCAAAGAAGAATGTAATGAACAAGCAGGACCTGAAAAAAGGCCATCTCTATTTATCTGACTGGCAAAGTGGCCAGCGGTATATGTATTATAACCAGCGGAGACAATAGCTGCAGGAAGCTTTTGAACTTTTGTCCTTTCTCTCTATAACTCTTTAAGAAGAAGACGAAGAAGACTGACTGATGGGGAAATGGAATAAATGGAGGCTAGAGATGAATTAGAATGTGAGTCTACATCAGTCTATTGGATTATCGTCAAATGCTGATGCAATCAGACCGAATGCTTCAGCCCCTGCAATCTCTGCACAGGTGTCCTATTAGTGCTTCTGAGAATGTCCTCCACATCACCGTCACCAGCTGATTAGCTGTTGTTGGCACACTTTGTCCCAGCTCCAAATTGTCTCCTCTGGACAGCATTCAGGGAACATGCAGTTCATTTCTCGTTGGTCTTTTATTTGCAATACCTGCCTGGAATTATCTTAAAAAGGAGGGAATTAATTCGCTTTTGTATCTAAAGTTCCTTTCACACCGGGAACAACACAAATATATGACGTGAAATTATGAAATATTCAGTGGCGAATTTTGACGGGCCTGACTAAACACATCAAGCGCGATGCGATTTTGCAACTATCTGGGGGAAAAAAATACGTGTTCCAGGTGGAAGTGAGAAGACTGACCCGACAGCAGACTGAGTGTTTTTCAGTTCTGATTAGACTCTAGTGTTGAGATGTCTGTCTGTCATGATAGCATGGACTGAGTCGGGGCCAGTACCAGATAAGAATATTAAACTATAATCCATAAACGTAAGGTAACAACCGAGACCTAATGGAGCTGTGACAGTAACGCTGTGATTGAGTTTACAGTGTAAATACATATGGTATGTTGTATCTGAACAGGTTAGCTTACGAGCTAAAGTTACTTAGCACAGATGAAAGTTAAAACAAAGACGTCTATCAAACTGTTAAAGCACACAAACCATCGTCATATGAGAAATCCGACGCTATGACTCTCCACAAGTTGTCCTTCAGGTCGTTATCTTTGCAATGTTTGTGTTTTTTTTATCAAAAATCACTCACTTCTCTGACAATCAGCCAGTCGGCCATGTTGGATATACCAACCATGTGAATATTTGCATTGACAAGATACGGGTTCGAAAAAAAAAATTGACGTCTGAAATAATCGCATGAAAAAAATGCTTCCGTTGTGTAAGGACCTTTAGAATAGACTCTGAACTGTGCACTAGTGAAAACATCTATGGCGAGGAAATTCAATCAAAGTGTTTCTTAAACATTCGTCAAGAAGATGTTGCTGCTTTATCTTTGCTTTAAAACCATTTTGGATTTAGTATGTTTGTAGTTTTGACCCTTAGTTATACATTATAAGTGACCTAGGGGTGTAATCTTAAACTATGCAACTTGATATTTAATGCAGTTCTGAAGTACTTATAAACCTCTTACCACTTTAATCATCCCAGTGCATATGATGAAGGTATGACAGTACACAAAAGGAAGGTACAAACACAACGCACTGTCTTCTTAAAGTTGTGCTGTTGCTGTTCTTCAACTATTTAGGTCCCAAAGAGTCAAAGAAGAATCTTAAAACACTTTAAATAAAGCCAACAGCTTTGACGGACATAAACTCCAGCACACGTGTTAATTAAATTGAGGATTTCCAGAGGTTATAATGCACTGAAGGGATAATCATTTTAAGGACAGTCAGAATCAGATTAAAATAAGGATTAGTTTATTTATCCTCTGGGGGGATCGTACTTGTGTGGAGATGCACTCATCCCAGGAATGAAGTTAGATTAAGATGTTTTGTGAGAGATATCATATAGTGAGCAAGAGATGTGAAAAAGTCCTAAGCTGTATCCATAGCAACAGTGTACTAGCCAAAAAGAACAGACCGCTGCCAAGGGGTACTGACCAATTGGACTAACAGGTGGAGATAATGCTGCATTCCACTTGTACTCGGAAGTCGGGATATTCAAGCTCCCAGTTGGGAATTCATCTGGAATGCCCCCCTGAAGTCGGATTTCCGACTCGGAAAGTCAGACGATCCTCTCCAACCCCGGCTTGACGACAACGTCATAATTCAAGATGGCAGCGCAGTGCATCACCAGTAAAGAGTAACAGTAAAAGCTCTCGTAATCATCTGACTTCTGAGGTAACTGGAATGCAGCATAAATACTCATATGGCTTCCTTTGTTTTTAGTAAATCTATACCAATAACAAAAAGATGGGTCTTCACTTTAAAAAAAAAAGACAAAAAAAAAAACAAAAAAACATATAGTGGTCCTTTAAAAAGTTAAAAAGTTCCTTTCAGTTACTTTATTTAAATCTATGTAAACTGTTAAATTCTAAATCCTTCTAATTTTGCACTGCTGAGAAAAAAATATATTGTTGTATATTAATTTTGAAATAGTCTTCATTCCTGTTTTACTGCTTTGTTTTTGCCCAGTAAGCGGTAAACAGCCTAATTTGCATAAATATGCTCTTGAGAAGCTCCTCCTATCATATCAAACTGTGTGAGTTTAAATCCCTCTTTCTGCGCTCTGATTGGCTGACAGAGTTACAGCAGGGCCCTGATGTTCTGGCATTCAACATCTGGGGAAAAAAGTGAGCCGAACTGGGCGGGGCGTAGGACAAAAACTCAAATGAACAACCAATTGAAGCTGACAGAACTCTCTAACCGCTCTGTGATTGGATGGAACGCCTGTCAAAGTACACCCAGTGGGCGCGGCTTGAGCGGCTGCTGAAGTGTTGTGAATCCACTAGCTTCAGTCTTGTCACAGGAGTGTGGGGCGCCTTTTCGCTGCTCTGGCGCTCTGGGATTACTAACCGTTTGTCGAAGAAAACTTGCTTAACTAACTGTTGTGGCTTTTTGACGCGACTTTACCGCTTCTTTTCCTCGTCCGTGTCCTCTCGGGGAGACTACGGCGTTTGTTTTTTACTGACTCTGGAGGTACGAAGGAAACAATCAGGTAAGAGAAGTGCTGGTTTTTGCTCGGTGCTCGTTGAGGAGTTTGGCGATGCTGCTGCTGCAGCTGCGCTCTCACTGGGAGCCTGATGCTCCAAGTTTGTCCTAACAGAGGGTTTAATTCATGTGTAGAGGACATTCAGACGTGTTTATTAATATTTTAGATATCAATAAAACATTTCCGACACCTTTTATAAGCGTGAAGCGTTCATTTGCTCCAGAAAA